TTCGTGCTGAGGAGACCCGCCTTCGCTCTGCTGGTTTGCTTGTGGTTCTGTCAGTGTTGGCTGCCCGAGCTCCTGTGTCGTCTGCTCGCCGCGCCGCTCCATCGCTCTTGCCTACTCTTTCAGGGGGGTGGGTCGCCCTCCTTATGCTAAGAAGGGCACGTCGCGTCGTGACACCTTCTGTGGTTACTGCTTCCGGCCAGGTCACCTAGAGTCTGATTATCGCCAGAAGAAGCGAGACCAGAGGCGCTCCTCTTCCAGTGGGACTCCTACGTCTTCCTCGACTCCGTCACTCACTGACCAGGACATTGTACGGCTCAAGCGTCTACGTGCTTCCTTCGGCTCCTGATCAACTGGTTCCGCTACCGATGTGACTGCATCCACCCCTCCACCACCACCGGCATCTACACAGTCAGGTACATCTTCGTGGGTTCTGGATTCTAGAGCTTCCTTTCATATGTCTTCTGATTCTTCCGCGTTGTCTTCTCTTCGACCTCTTGATTCGCCTGTTAATGTTCTCACGGCTGATGGTACACCTCTTCCTATTGCTAGTCGTGGCACTCTTTCTACTCCTTCCTTTTCTGTTCCTAGTGTTTCACATGTTCTCCGTCTTACCATGAATCTTTTTTCCGCTGCCCAACTTACTGATTCTGGTTGCCGTGTCATTCTTGATACCGACTCTTGCTCTATTCAGGATCATCGCACCAAGGCTTTGGTTGGTGCTGGCCCTCAACACCGTGAGTCAGAGGGCCATTGGGAGGTTGACTGGCTGTGTGTTTCCCCCGCTGCCACCACTTCTGCCAGTTCCCATGCTCTTGCTGCCTTCTCGTCTGCGTCCTTCCAGCAGTGGCATCATCGCCTTGGTCACATATGTGGCTCTCACTTGTCATCATTAGAGCACCAGGGCCTTTTAGGGTCTGTTTCTGGAGATGTTTCGTTACATTGTAATGGTTGTAGACTTGGCAAATAGACCCAACTACCTTTTCCCACCAGTGAGTCGGTATCTCAGCGTCCTTTTGACTTAGTTCATTCTAATATTTGGGGTCCCGCTCCCTTTGATTCAAAAGGTGGTCATCGCTACTATGTTCTGTTTATTGATGATTTCTCTCGCTACACTTGGCTCTACTTTATGAAATCTCGTAGCGAGGTTCTTTCTATATACAAGCGTTTTGTTGCCATGGTTCACACTCAGTTTTCCACGCCCATTCATACTTTTCGTGTAGACTCCATTGGAGAGTATATCTCCTAGATGTTGCGTGGTTTTCTTGCAGACCAGGGTACCCTTGCCCAGTTCTCTTGTCCGGGTGCTCATGCTCAGAATGGAGTTGCGGAACGTAAGCATCGTCATTTACTTGAGACGGCTCGTGCGCTGATAATCGTTGCCTCTCTTCCACCACACTTTTGGGCTGAGGCCGTCTCTGCCTCCACCTATCTTATCAACATTCAACCATCAGCTGCCTTGCAGGGTGGTAACCCTATGGAGCGTCTCTCTGGTTACTCTCCTGACTACTCCGCTCTTCGTATGTTTTGATGTGTGTGCTATGTCCTTCTTGCCCCACGAGAATGCACCAAACTGACTGCTCAGTCGGTTGAGTGTGTTTTTCTTGGTTACAGTGATGAGCACAATGGCTATCGATGTTGGGATCATGTTGGTCGTCGGCTGCGCATTTTGCGTGATGTGAATTTTGATGAGTCTCGTTCCTACTATCCACGTCCTTCCTCTTCACAATTCTCTATGGATGACATTTCCTTTCTTCTTCTTCTTGACACATCCTCCTATGTGGCTTATGTCTCTCCCCTCCCTCCGGCACATCTCACTCCTTCTCATTTCCCACCAACACCACCTCCACCTACATCCTCCTCCCCATCCTCCTCCTCCACCTCTCCCCCATCATCTCCAGTCTCTCACCCACTTTCTCCCTTCCCTCTCCACTACACCCGCCGCCCTCGTATTGAGGATGATTCTACTGCCACGCCATCCACTTCTGGAGCGCCCCTTCTCACGCCTCCTCCTGTTCATAATCTCCGTGCTCGGCCTCGCCCCCACCTGATCGCTACTCTCATGACCGGCACGGTCTCTCCTTCGTTGTCGAGCCCACTTCCTATCGGGCTACCATGACTCAGCCTGAATGGCAGCTTGCGATGGCTGAGGAGCTTGTTGCCCTTGAGTGCTCTCTGGCACATGGGATCTGGTTTCCCTGCCTTCTAGTGTTCGTCCCATCACCTGCAAGTAGGTATATAAGATTAAGAGTCGCTTCGATGGTTCTCTTGAGCGCTACAAAGCTCGTCTTGTAGCTCGTGGTTTTCAGCAGGAGCAGGGCCACGATTATGATGAGACTTTTGCTCCTATGGCGCACATGACCACTGTCCACACTCTCCTTGTTGTGGCTTCTATTCGTCATTGTCTGTTTCTCAACTTGACGTCCAAAACGCTTTTCTCAATGGTGAGCTGCGTGAGGAGGTCTACATGCAGCCACACCGAGGTACTATGCTCCTGATGGTATGGTATGCCGCCTTCGACACTCCCTCTGTGGTCTTAAATAGGCCCCTCGTGCCCAGTGATCATGATCCCGCTTTGTTTGTTCACACGTCTCCTCATTGTCAGACTCTTCTCCTTCTATATGTTGATGACATGATCATCACTCGTGACGACTCTGACTACATTGCCTTTGTTAAGGCTCGCCTTCGCGACCAGTTCCTCGTGTCTGATCTTGGTTCACTTCGCTATTTTCTTGGGATTGAGATTCCTTCTACCTCTGATGGCTTCTACATCTCCCAGGAGAAATATAGTACGAATCTTCTTGCTCGTGCCGCTCTTGGTGATGAGCGCACTGTTGTGACTCCTATGGAGCTCAATGTTTAGCTTCGTGCTTCTGACGGTGACCCTCTTCCCAATCCCACTTGCTATAGCCACCTCGTTGGGAGCCTTGTCTATCTTGCTGTTACGCGTCCTGACATCTCCTATCCTGTCCACATCCTCAGTCAGTTTGTTTCAGCCCCCACCTCTGTCCACTATAGTCATCTCCTCCGTGTTCTACGGTATCTTCATGGCACGATCTCTCATTGCCTTTTCTTTCCCCGCTCCAGCTCTCTTGAAATCCAGGCCTACTCTGATGCCACTTGGTCCAGTGATCCCTCTGATCGACGCTCGATGTCTGCTTACTGTGTCTTTCTTGGTGGCTCTCTTATTGCCTGGAAGAAAAAGAAATAGACTGCAGTTTCTCGATCGAGTACAGAGGCTGAGTTGCGAGCAATGGCTATGTTGACGGCTGAGGTGATCTGGTTACGGTGGTTACTTGAGGATTTTGGTGTGTCTGCTACTACCTCGACTCCCTTACTGTCAGACAACACCGGAGCTATCACTATTGCATGTGACCTGGTGAAGCATGAGCTCACCAAGCACATCGGTGTGGATGCCCACTTTGTGTGTGCTGCTGTGCAGGATCAGACTCTTGCTCTTCACTATGTGCCTTCTGAGTTACAGTTGGCGGATTTCTTCATGAAGGCACAAACTCGAGCGCAGCATGGCTTTTTCCTCTCCAAACTCAATGTTGATGACCCACCATGAGTTTGAGGGGGGTGGGGTGTTAGATGTGTATAGTCCACTTTCTGTATATCCCCATTGTATAAGGGGTTTCTTGCACTTTGACACACATGTATATATATTGGCCTTTGGCCCTCAGCGAATACTAGTTGCTGATTATCCAACATCCTTGACTATTGGTGGTTGATACAAATGTCATCAGTATCAAATTTTAGTTGTATGTACTCCCTCTGTTCCGAATTACCTGTCGAAGGTATGGATGTATCTAGATGTATTTTAGTTCTAGATACATCCATTTCTGCGACAAGTAATTTAGAACGGAGGGAGTAGGATTTTACTATTTCATCACATGGTGATATGCATGCTACATAGTGTATACTCCGCAGGATAATGCATTCATGAGTGATTTGCCTTATATCTCATCACACCAGCATGTAAAGAATAAGCAGTATTGTCAGTGACAAGGAAAATAAAGAGATGCTCTAAAAGAGCTCTACATTGCTCATCCTTGTGATAAGAAGCAGTAATTTATGTTATCCATTTAGGTGTGATTGTAGAAATGGAAAAGTTGGAGTTACACATCCTGGACAGTGCATCAGCCACCCTGTTCTCTTTGCCTTTTTTATTCTCCCTCCGTTCCTAAATACAAGTATTTGTAGAGATTCTACTATAAACCACATAGGGATGTATATAGATACATTTTAGAGTGGTCCATAGTGGAATCTCTTCAAAGATTTATATTTAGGAACAGAGGAAGTACTTCACAGTGAAGTCAAATTCCAAAAGTTTAAGCATGAACTTGTGTTGGATAGCCTTTGTAAATCTTTTATAAGTGATATAAGTAAATCTCTTGGACGATCTGGAACGAGCGTAATGCTCGGGTCTTCCGACACAAGAGCGCACCGCCTCCGGTCCTTCTCCGTGCTATCCTCAACGACGTCAAGCTTTGGGTTCTCACGGGAGCTAAAAAACTGGGGTGTATTCTTGTGCGCGAGTAGTTGTCATGCCGGGCATATGGGTCATTTGTAACACTCTAAAACACTTCTCTCTTATTTAATGAATGAGGCAAATCTTTTGCCTCCGTTTCAAAAAAAAATTTACTTGAGGCCTTATTGATCTGATAATAACGGTTATTTGGGCGATCAAGTGTCTTGACAACTCTCCTGGCGTTGCCCTCACACCCCTTACGTCCTTCTCTAACACGGCAGCACCGATTGCTCGGTACAACATCTGTGAAAATAAAACTACTTGTACATATTTATTGATTATATGTATATGGCTGAGAAACATATTATAGTGATTTACAATAATTACACATTCAACATCCGACCCCCTTCAAATGACTGACATGGGCAATAACTCTAGATGGGCAGATCGTTACAAGCATACGGGTCGACCAACACTTTCCCTATTCAGATCTTACAACATCAAGCCCGGGCATGAACCCATCCTATAGATTTCAGCTACAGTACAGAGGAACGTTGGCAGGCTTGTAGAGGAACGTCTTGACGTTGTGCGAGCTCCCTGACTGTTTGTTGTATGTGAACTTGACCCCAGAGTGTGCGTCGCCCCTCCTGGTGCAATGCTGGTGGAAGCTGCTGATGGGCCTTGCCAGGCACGAATCCCATCGGTCGCTCTCAGGCATTGTCTCTGCAACGCTGTAGACGCCCTTGTAGTTTGTGAACGCCTGGTAGTTGATGAGCTCACCAGATTTCGTGATGCACAGAACAGCAACCTCAGCGCCTATAGAGACAGTCACAAAGACATACATGAGCAAGAGGAGAACAAGAGAGATTATCCCGCAGAAACTTTAATTGTATGCGGCACAATGAACAATCCGAAGCAAAGAAAACAAAATGGAATTAGTAAAAGACCGGCAGTACATGTGTGCTTGAGCAGTGTCAGGCACAGACAAGGTTCAAGGTATAATTCCTTTTTAGTTTGGTACCACCTAAAGATCGCCACTTTGATTCACACTAACATTTTCCAATACACTTTGATCGCATGTAAACATTCTGAAATTTTCCTAATTTTCTTGCCAAAACCCATCCTAGACACCTGGGCTCACCTCCATTCGCATTTTCATCTCGATTTGTTTTTTCGTGGGTGGTTGAATTACCAAATTGGCTTACCTGAATTTCCAAAATGGCTGATTCAACCGCCACTCACTCTCATCCAATTTGATTTTTTGATGTAGTGGTTGAATTGCCGAAATTATGCCTGTACCCATGCCGTGGAACAATCTACGCCGGCAGAATGATGAGTGCCAGTTCAGTATGATGGTTGGGAGAACTTTTTTAAAAGAAGAAGCGGAAGGGGAGGAAGCAGCAGTAAGAGGAGCAGGATGGAGAGACCAGAGGGGTAACCTGTGAATTGATGACAGCGACTAACTCCAGTAAATGGACTCCGCGAATTTGTGGTGGGGACACTGAGGTTTCTACCATCACCACACAGGTTCACCATTGCCCCTGGGTAGAGAGGGATGGCCACCGGGGAGTGCAGTAGCAAAATCTAGGAATCTCAATAGGTGCATGCTTTTTCTTTTGGCTCCTAAACTTCCTTCTCATTGGTGTTAATGCTTTGTCTGGTTCATCCATTGACAGGACCAGAACAAGCAACACATGTTCCCAGATTTCTTACTGATTTACGGATTTATGTTTGATGAGCAAAAGGTTCATGGCTGTCTTTAGCATATGCTTACAACATTTGTCTGCATTACGACAGGCTCTCATGCCATCAAATTGATGGTAAATATGTTGCTGGAAGAAAAGATTTCAAGTCATTCTTACTTCCAGACATCCTTGCGGAGCACTCCTTTTCAAGTAGTATATGGCAGAGAAACACCAACCATTTTGTCTTATAGTAAGCAACTTGTAACCTAGTTGTGCTAGGTGAGTCAGTCCATTAAGAATGCTAAGTATTCGACTAAGTCCATGTATAAATGGTTGGAGAGACCTCTTAGTGGATGTAGCTATAAATGGATTTGGGATGCAAAGTTGCCTTTGAAAATCCAAATTTTCTGTGGCAAAAATGTTCCAGAATGCTGTTTTGACAAGGCAGGTCATGAAGCAAAGGAAATGGCCTGGTAACCCTTGTTGCTCTTTTTGCAAAGACGTTGAGTCTTCTTAGCATCTTTTCTATACTTGTTCGGTTGCTCGTGTTGTCTGGAGAACTGTTGGGTTTGTTCTGGATACTGACTTTATGTGCTAATAACGGTTCGCAGTATCTCTCCTGGTGCTAATTTTTTCTGCCTGATGGGGAAAAACTCTATACTGTTGGCCTGGTGGCCATTACTTGGATATATGAAATGCTTGAAACTGAGCAACCTTCGAGCATAAAATGATCAAGGCCGCTTTTGAGATTGTCTTCACTACTTGCTCTTTTCTTATCTAGTGGGCAGGTCTTCAGAAGGAGGGCAATGCGAAGATACTCAGGACTGGAGCAGAGCTTCTTCGCTCTAACACGATGAACTTGATGAGGATTTGCGAGGCAACTCAGAGGCCTATCGAAGGAGTGAAGCCTGTGTGACTCCTTGTCCTTGGAGATTCTTTTGGGTAGTTATGTTGTTGCATTTGGTTCCTGGAACCCGCTTGTGGGTTTGCTAAAGTTTAAGACCTTACTTATTATGTTCTCTGGCTTGTGATAGGACTAATTTATTTTGGTGCTGTCTAGGTTTTCACCCCCATAGTGTATGTTCCTATATCGAGCGTATGCAGTTGGCTTTCCTAGCAGTTCGTTGAACTTGCTTCCTCTTTCCTGTCCCCTGTTTAAACTCTGACACTGATGTATTTCCATTTGATTAAATGGAAAGGGGGTTAGCCCGGTTCAAAAAAAAAAGGTGAGACAGTTCATGTCTTAGCCTGATTACTTGGTACATGCTATTATGCAAATCCAGTCCATGCAATCTATTTGGTATGTGATACTTAAAACGTCAAACCCTAAGCAATTTTCAGAGACTCTAAGCTTTGGCTGGGACAAGCCCACAGAAACCTGGAGAGTGATGCTTCACCTCTCTGTTATCCCATGTGATCCAATCCCAGTTCCCAGGACTACCATGTACCTCCACTAACCAAATTCAAAGGCCATAACAAGTACATGTTGTACAAAAAAAAAGGCCATAAAAGCATCTAAAATCTATTGAAGGTATCCCATTCGCCATGCATCACAAGTACTCCCCTGCATTTCACTAGAATTGTCCACGGTTTCGGTAGTCTCTGATTCAAAAAGTCTGTCCATTGATCAAGAGTACAGTTAATCAGTCAATGCAAAACGAGCTTGGGCACTCATGATCCCTTTATCTTAGCAATCCAAATGCTTAGAGATTTGCGCACATGCACGTATCTAATTCTGTATTTGAGTTGGATTGTGACTTTTCATAATTAGACTGACATGGACAGGCCCACTGAGACTTCATAAGACTTTGTGCATGTGGATTAAAAACTAGGATCATCCAACAGAAGCACTATTAACTTCTGGCATACCGTTCATAGTTGCAACTTTAGCAAACTGAACACTGAAGGAAAAAATTGAAAGAGTGGATACCAATTTGTCTTTCCAGATGCATTCGGATGTTCCATAGACATTTAGTCACGTACATAATCTTACATGTACTCGACCAATTACGATCCTTTCATACATTGGGAGATGCATCATCTCCCTGCAAGCCGATACACACACCTATATGGACACCAAAACAACTTATATAAAATAGTTTTGAATTTTGATCTTTAGTTTCCTTTGTGCATGGCAGTAGACACGTCAGGAAAATTAGGCTACAATTTACACATCATCTAAATATATACAAGGACAAGCTCCAGCAAGACTACTTAGCAAGGGTGATATTGTATTGGACGCAGTACATTCATATATAGTCATATTTAGCTATCCTTAATAGCTTGCTTAGTCAGAAGCCTGGAACTGTAATTTGTTCTTATTATAGAAGGTAGAAATGTCAAAACAATGGACACTGGAACCTGAGGGTTACCTGCTACCTAGTGTACAGAGGAAGACCAGTAACACTTCCCCATTAAGGGAATTCTGTGGGCACTTTCATAAACCGTATCTTACGAGTTAAGTTCACCTCAATTACAGTACATGTTTCGAGTTAAACAGGTTCCCTGTAATTTAATTTGTTCCGACAGCAATGGGAAGCACTTTATCCACTTACATACATTTCCAAAACATGTATAGACCCTTTTTCCTTTTTTTTCTTCTTCGGTCCTTTTGCTAGAAATAGAACAGCCTTAGAGTGAGATACAGATAACGGCTCATAGGTTTTCCTCACCCCACCAAATCCGAACTAAGAGTATGATGTGTGTCTATCTATGCTCCTCACTAGCTTAACACAAGAGCCTAGATTGTCGAATACAAATAGACAACCTACTGAACACACACAAAATTTGCTCCAGTTACCTATGTCCGATTTTCATTTCTAGATCAGATGACCAGTAACCAACTACCCCGTCCCTGTATGATTCTCGCTTCCTACGCGCCTAACAGAGACTAAAAATTCCACCAGAATTTCCCACGGAAATTTGCACTGAATGATACCAAAAGCACTCTACGCAGTCCACAGAAGAATTACCACTAGAGCGAAATTTGCTACTCTGCTTAACGTGCCAACCCCCAGACCAACGAAATTTCGTGATCGAAAACAGCTGAACCGAGATCCACGGAAGCGCGGTCGCACGAAATCTAGCTCGGTGACCACGAGAGCACAGAGGGCGTCGATAGCAACTAGATAAATCCGAAGGAGGGGAGAGGCTCGTTGGGCTGACCTTCGAGGACGTGGTCCTCGGGCCCGATGGCAGAGTCGGCGCAGACGTCGCAGACGACGCGGCCGCGGATCTCCCCCGTCCACGCCTCGGCCGCCGGGGCCGCCGCCAGCAGGAAAGCGAGGAGGGCCAGATGGAGGAGGAGCAGACACCGGTGAGGGAGAGGACACGCCGCCGTCGCCATGAATCGGTTTGCTCGGTCGAGCTACTCTTTCCCTTTCGAGGGAGAGGGCAGAGCTTCGTGACTTTCGCGGGAGGATTTTTTTTAGCATCAGTACAGACACAAGTGCTCATATACACGCGCATACACTCACCCCTATGAATGCACGCACGCACACCCTACTCCTATGAGCACCTCTGAGAGACTGAGCCGGCATATCATTTTGAAATTTACGAAGTCACCGTAGGCGCCTAGTCGTCGACGGGAACGTCTCCTCCCACTGAAAGCGCATCGCCGGAAATCCTGAAATAAATCCAGGAATAATGCGAGCACCAGGATTTGAACCCTGGTGGGTTGGAGATACCACTGTCCACCTAACCAACTCAACCACAGGTTGATTTGCACTTTTGCGAGAGGATTGACGACCTATGAAGCACCGATACGGCGACACGGATACGGCGACACGAATACGACGATACGAGTACGGTGATACGGGATATGGTAATTTTTTGAAACAGCAATACGGCGATACGGCAAGTATATGTAAATAATAATATATAAAATAACAAGTAATAAAGACAAAGCATGATATAGGATGTGTGAGATGAGATCAGAATACTGCCCCATTGGTTGCCTGATTTCCTCCATGCCTCTTTTCAAGTCCTAAATGATCATCTAGGTTCCTTATCATGGTGTATGCAAAACAGAAAATACATTATATGATATTACACTTTGTCAATTTGAGATAAATAGACATGAAAAGTGAAAAATGTTAAACAAATTGGCTTGAGCTGGCCAAATGAATATACAATTCCTTGTTCCAAACTAGCAAGCAGTATCAAACAAGCAGTACTAAAGCAAGCAGTAGTATGCACCTATGCTAAGCAGTAACATCAGCAAGTACTAGGAACTAGGAAGTAGTAGTATAGCAGTAATCTGCAAGAACTAACCAGCCAGCCAAGCATCGTCCACTCCGTTCGTAACAAGAACAGGGACCAGAGTCATTGAAGAAGAAAAAAAACATGAATGGATCACGACTGACGATGGTGCTGAAGAAGATTCGAGTCAACCGAGGGCCGAGGTAGCAGTGAGGCAATTCCAGGCGGCGCCGGCGAGCCACTACAGGCGGCGAGCGACTCCAGTCTGTGGCGGCGGCCGGCGGGGAGGATTATCCAGTTGCGGCGGTACGCTCGTGCAAGCTCCTGTCTGGGCTGATGCTAGGGTTAGCCATGGGCCTTCTACTTCTATTGGGTTGCCGTGTTCCTCCCGTATCGTAGAGGATGTACAAGACGTATCCACATTTTTTCTTTTATTTTTAAATCAGAAAATAGGATACTTCGCCGATACCCATATCGCAGCCGTATCGTGCGTATCGCCGTATCGGCGACGTTCGATACACCGATACACAGGTTTGTGATGTATCGGTGTTTTTGGTATCATTTGAATCACCCATATATACGCCGAAGGAGGGGAGAGGCAGAGCAGGAAATCAGGCTACAAGAAAACTCTTCTCTTCCTGTACGTTTCAACTAATATAAATTAATCAGCCATATATTAGTCAAACATTAGGATCATTTGAATTATTATTTGTCTCGAAACAACAAAGCTCTTTCTGAGTTAAGCGTTAATCAAACACTACAAGGAAATAAGCACAAACTGCTCCTTATCGGTGAACTGGGCGTAGTTCTGTGGTTTGGTAACCAATTCATAAGGTTTCAAGTCTTAGGCCATGTTTGGTTCTATAAGTTAAGTTAATTTGGATTAGTTTAGACTCAACTAACCCAAAAAATATCAAACAAAATGATTAGTTTGGGTTAGATGCATCTAACTCATCAAAAAAATCTAACCCATCCAAAAGGTGCTTATTTGGGTTAGTTTTTCTTGTGATCATCAAAAAACATCTTTTTCTCTCGCTCCCCCCGCAGCAGATCCCTCCCCACTTTTTTGAAGCTTCTCGTCCTCTCCCTCCCTCCCTCTCACACCGTCCGTGAAGGCGCCTCGCCGTATCCACGCTCCCGTCCGCCGCCGGTAAGCATCCCTGCACTATCCTCCCGTTCCAACCCCCTTGTCTCTATGCGGCCCGTCCGTCCGCCGGTAAGCAGTCGCGGCTCCTTGCGTGGCCCGTCCCCGTCGGCCTCGGCCAGTGAGACTCCTTGCACAGGGTTGGCGGATTCGGTCAGCGGGTTGCGCGAGAGGCCAGCGCGGCTCCTTGCCGGGCGCGTCCCCGTCTGCCTCGGCCAGAGCTTGCTCCGTCAAATCCGGCAGGTAATAGGGTCCAAAGTAGCCAAATGATTGAGGAAGAGCAATTATTGTCAATCTAACTCTGTCATCCAAACACTTCTTTGGTTAAAGTTAGTTCAGGGTTGGTTCAAGATTAGAATCTAACTCTAACCTTTAACTGAGTTAGACCATCCAAACAGGGCCTTAGACTTGGTAAATGCTCGCATTTTTCTGAATTATCTTAGACTTTTCGATGATGTTTGTTTAGTGGGAAAATATGTTCTCATCAACTACGAGGCTCGTATGGTATGTATGCGCGTACGTGCTTACATAGGGATGAGTTTATATATGTATATATGAGCATCTATGTTGTAGTATGATGTTTAAAAAACCTGTTGTTTATTCTAACACAGTACAGACACAAAGCGCTTATATAAACGTGCATACACTAATCTTTATGAACGCACACATGCACACCCTACTTGTATGAGCATCTCTGAGAGGCTGAGCCGACATATCATCTTAGCACCATAACTTGAACACTGGTGGGCTGGGGATATCAATGTCCTCCTAACCATCCAACCACAAGTTGGTTCGCTATGTGCATCGTGATGATGCAGAGGCCGGGGCTATTCCCCTTTTCGAAAGAAAAAAATATAGCCCTTTAAGTATCAAAATCTTTGTGATTTCACTTACACCTATTATTTTTTCTTAGTCGCCTTTTAGACATCAACCTTCACGACCTTCTTCATGTGCACCCCGGGAAGAAGTGTACCACTTAAAATCAAAATAAAAGTGTTTGGTATACTACACTACAATTCACTTCTTTATTTTTTTTTCTTTGCGAAAAACTTCTGATTTGTTCATCTTTAATCATGACACTACAAGAAATATCATAAATCATAAAAATTTCATCCAAATCCGTAAACCATTTAGCGATGATTACAAACACTGAAGCACATATATGGACTATGTTTTTGACCTAGTGCCAAAACCCATTTGCCGCAAGACCTAGACGAGAAAGGGCCACTGAACTTAGTCGAACGCTTTGGATACATCCAATTTTAGCATCGCCGTGGGATTCTTGAGTGTATGCAACCTTCTCACCGTGCCTTGAGGGCTTGAGCGAGCATAAAACTTTTATGTATCGATCTTCCCCTAACGAAGGCACTTCGGTGTATCCTCACCAACCTCGGCAGATCTTCCGCTAGCCTGGTGCCCAATATCTTGTCAAAGATTTCCACAACCCCGTGAATTAAACTGACATGGTGGAAGTCCCTCAACTCGCTTGCCCCATCATTCTTGGGCAAAAGAGAGACCAAGACCTTGTGGATGGCCGGGAGCCCACGCATGTCACCACGGTAAAAAAACCACAAGGGCCCTCATGAAAGCTCCTTTGATGATGGTCCAGCACACACTGTAAAAATGCCCCGTGAACCCATCTGGGCAAGGAGCGCGGCTCGATGGCATACTTTTATTATCTTCTCGACCTCCTCACAAGTGAATGGCGCCCAAGGTTTGCCATGAGCAGATGCGCGCGCATCAAGGTTGAGCGAATGTGCACGCTCGGGGATTGTGGCCAGAATTGCCTCATAATAGTCATCAACCGCCTTGGCAATTTGCTCTTGTCCCGTTAAGATTTTGCCATTGCTTTATAATATCGTTATCGTGTTCCTCCTCCTGTGATTACTAGCATGTTGGTGGAAAAAATTGTGTGTTGGCATCTCCTTGCCTAAGCCATAGCAGCCTCGAATTTTGTCGCGCGGTCGATCGTTCCAAAGAGCATATTGTTGGGAACGCACTATTTCAAAATTTTTACTTACGATCACGCAATATCTATCTAGGAGATGCATAACAACGAGCGGGGAGAGAGTGTCCATGTACCCTCGTAGACCGAAAGCGGAAGTGTTTAGTAACGCGTTTGATGTAGTCGAACGTCTTCGCGATCCAACCGATCCAAGTACTGAACGCACAATACCTCCGTGATCTGCACACGTTCAGCTTGGTGATGTCCCTCGAACTCTTGATCGAGTTGAGGCCGAGGGAGAGTTCCGTCAGCACGACGACGTAGTGACGGTGATGATGAAGTTACCGACGCAGGGCTTCGCCTAAGCACTAAGATGATATGACCGAGGTGTGTAACTGTGGAGGAGGCATCGCACACGGCTAAAAGATCAACTCGTGTGTTCCAGGGCGCCCCCTCCCCACGTATATAAAGGAGGGAGGGAGGAGGAGGCCGGCCAGGGGTGGCGCGCCCAAGGGGGGGAGTCCTACTCTAGGTAGGATTCGCCCTCCCCCACTCCTATCCCTACAAGTAGAAGGGGAAAAGAGGAGGAGGAGAGAAAGGAAAGCCCCCCCCCAACCCTAGTCCAATTTAGTTTGGGCTAGGGAGGGCGCCACTCCTTGGCCTGCCTTCTCTCTTCCACCACTAGGCCCATGAGGCCCATTAACCGCCCGGGGGGTTTCGGTAACCCCCCTGGTACTCCGGAAAATATCTGATACACTTTGGAACCATTCCGGTGCTCGAATATAACCTTCCAATATATCAATCTTTATGTCTCAACCATTTCGAGACTCCTCGTCATGTCTGTGATCTCATCTGGGACTCCAAACAACCTTCGGCCATCAAACCACATAAACTCATAATACAAATCGTCATCGAACGTTAAGCGTGCGGACCCTAAGGGTTCGACAACTATGTAGACATGACCGAGACACATCTCCGGTCAATAACCAATAGCGGAACCTGGATGCTCATATTGGTTCCTACATATTCTACAAAGATCTTTATCGGTCAAACCTCA